GGTTAATGAAAGTGTGGACATATTCTTTTACAATATGGGATTGGTGTAGAAAGTTATTGAATTTAAAGATCCTACTCCCACAATGCGTAGAGTTGATCCTTTCTCAATGGATGAGCCCTGGATTATTGAAAATTGGTATTGCACTATGAAGAACATTATGAGTGAGCACTATTTGGAATATTTGGAGAGAGAGAGAAATAAGAAAACTTTTGAAGGGATACAATGTGAGATTGAAGTTTTGAAGTCTAATACTTTGGCAACAACAACTGATTCGTTTTCAACAAATAAGGATTGCAAGTTTATCCCAAAATCACAGATTTTTAAGAACCCATCTGAAGTTGTTAAGCTCAACAATAGAAGACATGTTCGAAATGTCACTTGGATGCCTCCTCATAAAAATTGTTTAAAACTCAATTTCGATGGAAGCTCGATGGAAACCAATGCCTATTAGGTTTTGGTGGCACTGTTAGAAATTATATTGGTAACCACAAATTCACCTACTCAGGCGCATGTGGATATAGAATAGTGAACAAAACTGAGGCAAAAGCTCTTTTAGAAGGTTTAAAGATGATAAAGAATCTCGAGTGCCAAAAGCAGATTGAAGGTGACTCAAGCAATATCATTGTTTAGGCAAAAGGAGAAATGAAGCCACATTGGAGACTATGCAACATTTTTTACGAAATATGGTCCATTTTAAGTTGTGGTTCTTTTGAATTATTTTATTATTTTAGAGAGGCTAATATGGACGTTGACGCCTTAACAAAGGGTAGTGTGTACCAACAATTGTTAGTGATTACATCATTTTCTTCTTGAACCTCATTGTAATCGTTTCTTGGGTGTATGAAATTCATGGTAACTGTTTTAAAAAAAAAGATAGGAGGACAGATTTCCAAAATGTACAACTAGCCACTTTTCTAAAACTTTTACTAAAAATGTACGTCTTATGAAACTCTTAATTTTCTTGACATATTTTTACAATATTTTCTACATTTATAGGGTGCTTTTATGAAATGTTGAATATCTTGGAGGAACTGCAGTAATTTGTATTGACATCACTGTTGGAAAAATTGGGCGATCTAACCGATAATCGCCCCATTAGATCGGAACCGGTTATGTTTTGGGCGGTTTTGGTGATCGGCCGGTATTTAAAAAAAAAATTCAAAAAAAGTATATAAATTCTAAAAAAATAAGGAATTTGATTTGTGATGCATATTTTAATATTATTTACATTATGGTAAAGATAAAAAATTGTTTTGGTCATTTATACTCACTTTTATATTTTTCCCATATTTTTCAGAAAATTTTAAAAATACCCTTAAGCCCAAATTGATTTTTTAAAATCCATTTTTTTTTCATTACCCCTAGCCACAGATTGCTTTAATCATTCTTTATATGCTTTTCATATCTTAATTGATTTTTTTTTTTTGTATCTTGTTTATATTTTTAACACTTTTTTAACCGCCCAAGACTTGCTCATTTAGAATAGTTGAATCGGCCGGTTTATCAATTAGACCGATTAAACCACTTTTGGGCCTAACCGTTCCCGTTTGATTTTGCGAACATTGATTGACATATTCAAATCTAACCGGAGAATGATTCGCTTCCATTTAGTTTAACGTTGAAGCCTTGATGTCAAAGACTTCCACTGTCTTGGCTTATGCATATGCAAACCAATCGCAATATGATTATGACAAACCTTAGTTATGCCAAACCTGTTTCTGTTTTAAGATAATGTTGTTTGCATCGTAGGCAGCATGTCTCCCTATAAAACACGAGTTTTTCAAAAAATCTGTTTTTTTTTAAATCTGTAAAGAACTCGGAGTTTTTTAAAGAAATCTTCAAAAAATCACAATTTTTTAATAGAACTGAAATAAATCCATAATTTTTTTTCAATTTTTTTTTTCAAAAACACTTTTGCCCTATAAATTTATTTCTTCATTAACTTAATATTATTGAATTTTGGTTTAAAGGTAAGCACATTAATAGTGAGAGTAAATTAAGAATCTTGATTTAACAAAAAAATTCCATCAAAATTTCACCAATAAGTTCCCTTAAAAAGGTGTTCGACAAATACAAACAATATATCCCCAAAAAATAATACATCAAAATAATCGTATATCTCACAATAATAGGTAGAGTTATAAGAAGAGTAACTCAATGAAAAATCCTTTTTTTTTGTTTTTTTTTCTTGTTATAACATGGAACGTCTTAATAGATGGGAAGAGAGAGATTCAATGATACTAAATATTTAGGCAATTAGGAATCAATGTGAAGTTTGAATTCGCTTAAACATTTTGTAGTTTCCTTTATGCATGGAGAAGTTTGATTAATTCCAATATTTTTTTTATTTATTTAATTGGTGTATATAGTATAGCATTTTGAATGGATCATTATTTTACAACTTTGGATGTTTGTGTTTTATTTTAGTTTACTAAAATCCTATACTCAAGGTCTTTTTTATTTTTTATTTATGAACAATAATCTTGTACCTTAGTTTACTGCTATTGTTATTTACCAATATAGTTCCTATCTTTAGTATTGTCGTTGTTTTTGTTTCATTTTATGCCCCTAATGTATCTATTATATGTTTTGTGTTGTAACAACAGAGTAAGCGTTGCTGTTGGATTTATTGAGAGTTTTGACACAAAAAAAAATATTCAAGTATTACTCTAATGACACTAGGTATTAAACGTTGTTGTTGGATTTATTGAGAGTTTTGACAAAACAAAAAAATCCAGTATTACTCTAATGACACAGGTAAGCCTCGAAAATTATTGTTCAATGACTTTAATGTATCTATATAATAATTGCAAATTATAATCCTATACTATGTAATTTTTACTTCTCGATTTTTTCAATCCTTTTTTTTTTAGCCAAGTCCAAAATATTCATGATTCTATAACTTACCTTATTTTTGGGCAATCCATATTTTTTACCCAATTTTTTCCTCTAACTTTTTAAAATAAAACCAATTTACTTTTAATGTTTTGGTTTGCCCATATATTATTATCCACCGACTTGCTAACTATGGTTAAGGAGCTAGCCCGTTCCAGGCCAAGTCCATTGCCAGCCCCATTTACAGGACCACTTTGTCCATCCAATTTATAATGGCTATATACTTTTAAAATATGGGTGCGGTTTGTATAGAGCCGAGGATCTAACGATCCAAATTAGAGCCTACCTTCAAATAGTATCAAGTAATGTGGTTTCAAAATATGGAAATCTTTGTAATAAATATATTTTTATTTTTAATTATAAAACTTAAAGCTTCAAAAATTGTGTAGATTGAGTAGAAAACTTAAAATTCTTGAAAATTGACGATCCAAAAATGTGTTACAAGATGCACTATTTTCGAATATTGAAATCCATTTTTCTTCATATCCATGCATCTTGATGATGAAATGATCAATTTGAGGATATTTGGGTACCATAACATCTTCTAGTGAAATTTTTGAGGTGGGCTCTAATTTGATTGTTGAGAGCCTCGGCTCTATATAAACTTTTCCCTTAAAATATTGTTTTAAAATGCAGCTGCATAATGCGCTACGTACCCAAAAGTGCATCACATAGGGGTGCATATGTGCTTTGGTGGGATGCGCCCGCATATGCACTGCATCTCACCGTATATGCCACTGCATAGCGCATATGCGCCGCATAGCTCATGGGCGAAAATAGTACCCATGAGCATGAGCATGAGCATGAGCATTGTTGTCAAATGATGAGCAAAAAATTTGGGCTTTTTTTTTTTGCGAAAAATTATCCATTTGCTCTAGGTGTTGGTTGGGTTGTTGATTGGGATGCGTCTGTATATGCTCTGCACCTCACCGTATATGCCGCCGCATAGCTCATGGGCAAAAATAGTACCCATGAGCATGGGCATTTTGGTCAACTGATGAGGAAAAAATTTGGCAGATATTTTTTTTTTGGAAAAAAATTATCCATTTGCTCTAGGTGTTGGTTGGGTTGTTGATTGAGATTAGAGGTTTGAGATTGAGACTTGAGAGTTGATTAGATCGTCTTTTAATTTTTATCATCTTCTATGGTTTGTCTTGACTCTTAAACTATTCATAGATTTTTAGTACTTGTATGTATCTTTGCTTAGGAGTTTGTCGCTTTAAAATTTGCAAATGTGAAGTTGTGATTATATTTTTTGGATGTTTATGAAATTGTGATAATATGTTGTCGTCTAAGTTTCAATATTTTTTATAAAGTTAGTTTTAAGTTTTTAGTTTTCACTTTCTATTTCTAACGTCTACTATCAGAGGATTCGGAGTCTCAAAAAACATGTGATAGATTGGAGCTAATGAATAGATTAAGTAATTACTATCACATAAATAGCCTTAATATATTTTTGTCATGTATTAACCTACTTTTTGAGATTTTTTATAATTATTAACTACATCGGCGTGGTTCACCTGCATCAGCACCATATCACCGGATCGGCACCTTAACCGCATCGGGTTTGCATCCTGTATTTTAAAACACTTTCTTTAAAATAAGGAAAAAATTTATATAATATGTTAACTTTATACTATACAAGTCAGGTGCACCTAAAAAACCCATTAGAGAAGGTTGGTCCTATACTGAAAAACCCTCAAATCGATCATATCATCCTCGAGATTTATAAAAAAGAAAAAAAAGAATTTCTAATCTAAAAACTAATTCATCATCTAATATATTATCTGGACCGTCTATTTTCAAGATTTTCAAGCTTTTACAAATGTGCTCGATGATCATGCTCCATCATCATCGTTTTCGAGCTTTAAATCTTATAATCGGAGGCAAACATATTTTTATATCATCGCGGGGATTTACGGCGACGAAACTATATTTTCACCGTAGTTTTGAGGTTGACGCTTTATGAAAACCTCACCTTTAAAATAAACAAGGGTTAACTTTGTAATATTTGGTTAAGATGCAGGACCATTCCGTCCAATTGATTTTCCCAGTCCTTTCAAAATTTTCGCGGTTATTGTAAATATAAATACGGAGGCACCATTTGCATTTTAGGGTTTCGCAGTGAGGATGTTCTGAGCTAAACTTTCGTGGTTACCGCAAATGATATACAAATCCATTGTGGCAATTGAATTTTAGGTTGTTTCGCAGGATGTTCAGAGCTGCAAAACGCTTTAGTCTTCTCAAGGTAACACCTCTTTTTTGTTCTATCTTTCTAGAACTGGAAGTGAAAATTAGGTTCTCGCTCACTTATATTTTCCTTGTTATTAACTAATTGAAATATACATGATTTCTCTTCTATTTTCTGATTTTTTATGGTAAATTCTCTGAATATTAACGCATAACTCTGGTGATTCTACAAAACATGGTTTCTATGTACTTTCTTCTTAGGAAGTCTTGTATGTAGAGTTGCCATTTTGAAGAGCGCAAAGATGATAAAAAAGTAAGTTTTACTTATGAGTTATTTGCAATGCTGTTGATATGGCATGTCACCTTTCATCTCTGGAAGTGTGAGGTTAGTTTGTGGCTTCCTTTTGAACCTTTTTGAATGATGCCAATCACTCTCACATCCAAACAATAAAAATGACATCTCAAATAACAAAAATGATTCTCACTTCTCTCTTCTGAAAAATGTGCTTATCTGCAATCTTATAGGGGATTGAGTAAAGGGAGAAGTATGGTCCCAAGAAAAAAAGAAATGATAAAGTGGATTAAGATCAATCATTTGATGGATAGAAGTAAGTTTAGGTCATCAAGGTTGATGGCTTCTTATTCTTGCGATATTGGATAGTGTGTGTTGCCAGAATTGAGTGATGTGATATAGGATATGGCTTGTTGCTGAATTGTGTGATGAAAAGAGGAGATTTCCATAATGGGGGTTGTTGTGCCTAGGATACATGAAATTTTCATGGGATGTGATGTATCCTTTATAAAAAATTTACAAGTAAGGTTTAATTCTGGTGTTAATTTAGAGGTGATAAATGAAACCATTACGCTGAATTTTGTAATGCTTGGGATTGGTGGACTTATTTCACTCCAGTTGAGGGGTAAGAGGAAAGTACCATCATAAGGGAAGAGAAAGAGTGTGATGAAATAGGGGTGGTAAAGTTAGGAAAGGATGTCACATTCTTTGGGCTCAAGTTGGTCTATGGTTGTATGAGTTGTGTGAAAAGTGAGAAAATTGATGGATAGCGGAAAAACAGTGCTAATACTGGTGGTACTAGGTTGATTTAGTGGAGGAAGTGTAGCATGCCTTTTATTGGCTGTAGGGGGCAGAGATGTGTTGGTGCTGGAGTTTGGCCTTCACCTCTGATTTCAGAGATGGGTTGATGCTGGACTATGGCCTTTGCTTCTGTGTAGGAGATGAATTCTCATGGATGATGGTGAAAGTAATTTCCTTAGAAGAGCGCAGGTTGGTTTAGGAAGATGAGAAACCGTTGCAATATTCCTCTAGGAAGTGTTTGATTCCTGGGAAGTCTTGCTCTGGGAGAAAGATTTTTGTCATCCAAGTCACTTTCCTATATTTGTTTTATGGGGAAGTGACACCTAGTAAAGTGCAAATATTCGTGCGGCTGTACAAATTGGCAGCATGTCAAGGGAAAGCCGCCTCTTAGTTTGCAAGGTATGAGGCCAATTTCTAAGAGATATCTCTTTTGGAAAGAGATTTCATACGAACTAAATGTTCCCTTACTACTGTTTTGGAAGGACTGAGTGAAAGCGAATAAGGGAGAGATCTCAGAGGTAAAATCAAGGAAGATTAATTGGTGAGAGTTTGACATAGAGAGTCTCTTGATGTTTATCGAAGCCCTCAAATGCCGTATAGCTGTATTGGGCCAGTTGATTGTGGAAATGGTGAAATCTCTTCTCTTTATTGCACGAATGTGGGATGAGAGAATGATGCAAATGGGGCATTAAAGGTGGTTTTTTCGATACCTCAGCTGAAGGTTGGATTGTTGTTTGATGGAGTTTTATGAGTATGTGTGTTTTGTTGGAATCTCCTCTATTGTAGAGTCTTTTTAGATGGAAAAAATCCTAACTAACAAGAACGAGAGTAGGTAGTTTTGTGAGGTAGGAAAATACATCTAAGAGGGGCTATACATTGAAGGATTGCCAGAACGGACCTATCAACTGTGTGTTTTAATTATCGTATAATTATATAATTTTAAAGTTCTAAGCTAGTGAAATAATGTAAGATTTGGTACTATTCAAAGGGCCGCGTGTATGATTCCAATTACCTAGGAGAAGATTGATATTGTTGAATAATAGGTCATTGAGCAAGAGCAACCGACCTTGAAAGGTGTCAAAGATGTCTTAGATAATTGGATGGAAATGGAACCACCACAAGGAAGTAACCTTTTTTTTTCAAAAAGAAAAATAAAAAAAATATTGAATACTGCGGTGGCGGAGATAGGATCATCCCCCATAGGTGGCGGAGATAGGATCTTTTGGGTCTCAATATTGCGGATGCAGGGAAGAGTATGATGAGGATAAAGGAGATGGAGATGGAGATGTAGATGAAGATAATGATGATTACACTTGATTTGCAGGTTCAGGGTTGAACTTTGAATTTGGATTTTGAGTTTGAGGCCTCGAGCTTTGAACATATAACTTTGAATTAATATGATTAACATAAACTTTTGAAGGCTGTGTTTTGTAATTGCTAGTTTGCAATATATTTTGTCATTTATGAAGTGAAACAATCATGATGTATGGTTTGTATGGACTATGGATATGAGATTCACATTACATGCTTAATGCCCTTCATATTCAATGATTATTGCTTAATGAGCTAATGACTTTATGCTTTACGGAATGTACTAATATGTTCACTTGACTATTTTGCTTTTCCTTTTTGGCTTCTTGGTGTCTAGTCTTGTTTTTCGATGATTTTTTTATTTCCCTAATATTCCTTTTTTATTTATTTTTTGGAAACTTTTCAGGATTTCTTATATTTTCTTCTAATTTTTCATTTTATTTTTATTTTTTGGAATTTTTTAATTAATTTAGAAACTGGATTGCTTTGATCAGTGAGCCATTCTGGATTGGCCGATTCAACGGAAAGAGTCCTTCACTGGCTCGGTGGCCGGTCTAGTTCTGATAACACTATAGATCCTTGCCTCTCTTCCTGTGTTTATTAACCTTTATGTGTTCTAATATTCCACTTGTTCTGAATGCATCTGTTGTGTTTGAAGGTGAAGCTAAAAAATACTGAACCTACTGGCATAAGAACCATCAGCACTTGTCTGCCACATTGTTGCAGTCAGGATGTTGTTTCCGAAGATTCTCTTTGTGGACCGCATTCCCAGTTCAAGGAAGGCTATGGAAAAATAATTCCTCCTCTCTCTCAGCCTCTTCCTGGCCTTAAACTTCCTCCCTGTCTCCCAGACCATGTGGAAGAATGCCTAACAAGGATAACAACACTTCCGAATGGCCTCAAGATTGCCTCTCAGGAGTCTCTGGTCCTGTTCTAAATTGACTGATTGCTTTCATGGCTATCAATTCATGTTCCTTATAAAACATTAGCATATGCATACTTTGTTTTTTTATAATCTCCAATCTTTGGAATTGTCTTTATAACAGGGGCCTGCATCCTGCATAGGAATATTTGTTGATTGTGGTTCTATATGTGAGTCGGAATGGTGTTATGGGGTCACACATCTCTTGGAAAGAATGGCTTTCAAAAGCACAAATAACCGATGTCATTCACGTGTAGTGCGTGAGATAGAGGCAGTTGGAGGAAATGTGGCGGCATCTGCATCACGAGAACAGATGGGGTACACTTATGACACAATCAGGACACATCTTCCTGAGGCTTTGGAATTATTGATTGACTGTGTTAGGAATCCGATTTTTCTTGATTCTGAGGTCAAGGAACAGGTCGGAACTGATTTCAGTTAATTTAGTTATTTTTGCTTGTGAAAATATGCTATTATCCTTTCGGCAGTAAATAAACTGCAGTCCTTCGTTTCGTCACTTTGATGAAATGATGAATGGTAATGGGGAGGAAGAGAGGGGGCTGGGGCACCATGGGAATCATGCCCTATTTCGATTCACCCCAGCTGCCCCCCAAACCCCTTCTTTCTTCTTTTCTCTTACCATCATTATGTTTGATGATGACCCAGTGGAATATGAGCACACTGTAATCTATGGAATTATAATTTGCTTTTCCTATTGATTGTCTTGAGTACTTTTTGATTCGATTCTAAGATGGTATGCATGTGACCATCGGTATGGTGCAGCTTACCAAAATCAAAGCAGAAATTAGGGACGTTTCGAATAATCCTGAGAACTTTCTGTTAGAGTCTCTTCATTCAGCTGGTTACTCTGGTGCACTGGGGAATCCACTGATAGCATCTGAAGCTGTCATTGAGAAATTGAATGGATCTGTCATAGATAAATTTGTCATTGTAAGCTCTGATACCTCCTTTTGATTGTATACCAAAAGACCTAGAAATGCCTATGGTTTATTTTCTTGGTAATGGTTTCAAAAGCAGCCAATATGTCATAATTGTTGCATTACAAATCACCAGGAGAATTATACTGCAGATCGAATGGTATTGGCAGCATCAGGAGTGGATCATGAATATTTATTGTCTATTGCAGAGCCACTTTTGTATGACTTAGAGAAGGGTCCTCCTATCAAGGTGCCAGTGTCAAAATATGTTGGTGGTGACCTTAGATTTCAAGCTGATTCTGAGGTAGTATCATTTGTTTGGCGTACTCTTCTGTCTCCTTCACATCATAATATTTATTTGTTTTATGGAAAGTAATAGTATAATCCAGTGTACCCCAAAGGGCTATCCAGTTTTTGAAGGGAGCATTTGCTATTCTCTTGGGGCCTACTACTGTTAATCCCCACTGTTAGTCTGCAGGAAAGGGTGGTCAATTGGCCTTTCTAAGTGGATTGCAACAGTGAAACTTGTTTCTGGTTCTGATAAACTTGCTAAGTCAACTCGTCTTGTATGAAAAGCTCGGGATGTGCTCAAATTTTTATCTATCTAATTTTATGTTATTTTGACATTTAAATTGCATCTTTGATGTGGTATGGATGTGATTTGACTTAGTAAAAAGCTAGTTTTGACTCCTGTTACGAACTGCATTGCTTATAATTTTTAATTGTTCAAAAAGATTTGAAAAAGGTGCCTGTGCTTTTCTGTTTTGCTGTTTAAATCGATGAATCAACTTGCTTTTGGCAGTGACCAAACATACATGTAGTTTGAGTTTTCAAACGCTAGGTAAAATATACCAACCCTTCTGATGTGGCTGCAGAGGACTTATGTTGCTCTGGTATTTGAAGTTCCAGGAGGATGGCGTGACGAGAAAGATGCGATAATAACAATCGTTTTGCAGGTAGGACTAACTTTGTGAGCTTGTTGACTGATATCTTAAACTGCTATGAATTTTGCCTAACCTTTTTATATTTGATACTTGTTCTTTTCCTCTATTTTCACCTACTGGTAATTGTAAAGGAGATTCACATTCATGGGTTCAATGGACTACTTATTTTCCAGAATCTCATGGGTGGAGGTGGTTCCTTCTCTGCTGGTGGTCCTGGAAAGGGAATGCATTCTCGTCTCTGTGAGTTGTTGCCCACCTCAGACTAGTTAATTTTATTAAGCTGCATTTGCCTTTCTTATTGGGTTCGTTTCTTGAAAAATCATGTTTGTTAAAAACAAAAAACTGACTGAAATATTCATACAGCTAGTCCAAGCATTGATTTAATTGAACCCCTTGTGCCTCTGAGAGTGGATTGATTAACGTATTTAATAGACTTATTAATAAAAAGTAAATAAATAACTGAACCTTTGTTTTGATTATGGATGAGTTAACTAGGCACCAACAAGATGAGGTACCGTACTGTATGTTGTTCGTAGATGACATAGTTTTGATCGATGAGACTAGAGGCGGTGTCAACGCAAAGTTAGAACGTTGGAGGGATGCTCTAGAATCTCATCATCATTATTGCCTTTTCCCAACTATTTGAGGTTGGCTACACAAATCTTGATTCGCCATTCTGCTTTATCAATGGCCATACCTGTAGTGAGGCTATAAGTCCCTATATCTTTTCTTACTATTTCCAGCCATGGCCTTTTGGTCTGTTGCTTGCCCTTTTTGAGCCTTCTATTTGAGCCAACTCTCACCTCCTAATAAGTGTTGTAGTGGGTCTACATTGTACATGCCTAACACACTTAAGTCTATCTCAACATCTTCATTTAATCTCAGCTACATTCATCTTATAGGTATGTCGTTTCTTGACCGCTCAACATTCCGCTCCATGAAACAACACTGGTTTCACAACCTTCTTATAAAACTTCTCTTTCAGCTTCATTGATATGCGACGATCACATAAAACTCTGGTTGCACATTTCCACTTCATCTACCCAGTTCTAATTCTATGTGCGACATCTTCCTCAGTCTCTCTCCTTTCCTGGATTATCGACCTAAGATATCAAAAGTGTGTTTTTATTTTTGTTTATATATATATATATATATATATATATATATTTGGGCTGTCAGTCTTAACTATTCCTCGTCTCTACTCCTATTATTAATAAACTTGCATTCCGTATACTCTGTCATAGTCTGGCTAATTTTAAAACCTTTAGATTTTAGAACATCCCTCCAAAGTTCTAGCTGTGTTGATGCCACTTCAGGTCTCATTGATCGAAACTATGTTGTTCTCAAACAACATACACCGCGGTACCTCATCTTGTAGGTGCCTAATTAAGTCGTCCATAACTAAGATGACATATGGGCTCAACGCTAACCCTTGATGTAGAACTATTGTCACTGAAAACTCATCTCTCCATTAGTTGTTCACACACTAGTTAGTGCTCCCTCCTATATATTTCTCACCAAGTTGATATATTTAGGGACTCAGTTTTTTTCCAACACCCACCAAATTAAATATCTAGATCAATAAAGACTATGTGGAGGTCTTTTCCCTTCACCCTAAACTTCTCAATTTGTTGCCTAAGTAGAAATTAGCCTCAATTGTTGACTTCCTTGGCATAAAATTGAATTGGTTTTCTGATACACGCGTTTTATGCTTTAGTCATTGCTCAATCACTCTCTCCCTCACCTTCATAGTGTGGCTCATACGTTTGATCTCTCGATAGTTTGTATAATTCTGTATGTCTCCTTTATTCTTATAAATAGGTATCACACTATTTTTCATCCATTTATCTGGCATTTTTGTTCTCAACACCTTGTTGAATAGCTTGGTCAGCCAGTCAATACTAAGCTCCCCTATGCACTTCCAAACCTCTATTGGGATACCATTTAGTCCTAAAGCCTTTTCTATCTTCATCCTCTTCAAAGCTTCTTTCACTTCTGATATTCTAATCCTACGAATGTATCATGACCTCCGCTCTCATTTATGTCAACGGTTCCTTCTATTGATGTATTCCCATTGTATTCATCCTTTAATCATTTTAAAAATAATTTCTCCACCTTTTGTTGACCTCTTCATCCTTCATCAAGACCTTTTGATTCTTGCTATTAATACATTTAATATGGTCTAGAATCAACCATCTTATTCCATAGAGCAATTAACTTCATGTTCAGACTTTCATTTTCCTTCTTTAAATAATTTGCCCTTAAATAAGTGTATTTTCTCATTTTTTAAAATTCTACCACGTAATTCTTGGAAACCTATTAATTTCAACCCTTCACTTTCATCGCTTTATGCAGATGCCCATAACCATGAGCCTATGTTGCGTATTCAAACTTTTTCTTGGGATAACCTTATAGTTTTTACATGATGGTCGATTTGTCTTCTTAACTGGGAAGTCTATCGGGCTTTTATATTATCCACTTTTATAGGTTATTAACTGTTCATCTCGCTCTTTAAAGCGTTTGCTATTGCTAGGTCATAGACCATAACAAAATCTATGATAGCGTGACCCATCTCATTTTTTTAACAAAACCCAAATCCCCAATATACACTTTCATATCCTCTACTATTCTTCCCTATATTCATCTCTCCATTTGGTATGTTTTTGATTAGTCATTCCATGTCCTCCCAAAACTGTCTGTTAATTCTATCATCTAATCCTACTTGTGGTGTGTAAAAGCTCATTACATTAATTAACTCTTTTCCTAATATAAGTTTAATTAATAAGAGCCTATCACCTACTCTTTTGACATTAACTATTTATCTTTTAAATATTTGTCTATTGTTATGCCTATGCCATTTCTGTTATTATCCTGTCATGTATATCAAAGTTTATACCCATCTCTTTTGTTAAGCGTTAGCTTTCTCTCCCATCCGAACTAGGCCAATCAGCTAATCAAGCCCACTGTTCCTTGAGCTTTCAACTTGCCCTATCACTCACTCGTCCCAATGTAGACAAGCAATGTTTACTCATTCGTCTCAATGTATCCATTAACTCCATACTCTTACGTGTAGGCGTTTCTACATTCTATGTGGCTAAACAAATCCTATTTTCTTCGACTACCTTTTTTACCCACATTCATCCAGAATGTCACAGAACCTTTGCCTATTTTTTTATGCAACCGGGCAACGTTGTGGCACGTCGCTTTTTTGGAACACCATAGCTAACCCTTGCTCATTTCCCGTTGTACCCGGGTTCTAATACAATGCATCCCTTGCAGGGAATGCCCTAGCATAAGCAGATTACGTAGATTCATGGAAAATTTGGCAAAGTTTTATGGTGGATGTCTACCTAATATAACCCACCTCCTTTTCTCAGTTTTGAGATGGGTTAAGGGAAAGTTTAAGGACCTTACCCTTCTTAGACCAAGGGTATGTAAAGAAATTTACTAAAGCCTCAAATATGAAATGGCAAATGTATCTAAAGAAATTACTAAAAAAACATTCGAACTAGAAAGTTTAAGAAAAAAGAAAATTTACTAGGAAAAAATATGAAACAACTTATGTATGGAAAGAAGTCCACTTTTTAACATAACATCACTCCCCAAATACCTCGAATAAAAAAAAAAAAAACTTTTTTGAGCAAAGTAAAACAAACTAAAGCCCCATTTTCTTACATAAATGGCTAATGAAACTGCATCTTAGAACCAAGTTGCAACCTACATTCTCCCCAATATCCACAATGGATCCAAAACCAAACCATCAATTGTAAGAAGAGGGAAAAACAAGAACGAAACCAAAATCAAAGAGATAAAAAAGACCAACCTAAGCAATAAGAACAACAACACTATTGGCCTCTTTAATCTTCTTCTCCGCCCTCTTTGAAACAAGCTTCGTCTTAACAACAAGAGGATGGGGCGGAAGCTCCCCCTTTCCCAAAACCTTAAAATATCCATACCGAGTAACATCAAGCAAAGGAGCTTTTCCACTCTTCTGAGTGGCCATCGCTCTGGCCTATGCCTCTTCTAGCAAAAGAGACCAGAGCTTGTCTGCATTGACAACAGGGCAATAAAACTTGTTTCTCAGCTGGTGAAAATACCTCATCCCCACCTTTCGGAAATAGCCAAGGTGATACTTATCAAAGAGGATTTTGAAATAACCTCTAAAATCTAAAGGTTTTAAAATTAGTAGGACTAAGGAAAAATATATCAAATGCAAGTTCAATAAGAATAGGAGTAGAAACGAGGAATTAGTTAAGATTGACGGTCAAGAAATACCTAAAAAAGATTGTTTCCGATATTTAGGGTCGATAATCCTAGAGAATAGAAAGATTGAGGTAGATGTCATGCATAGAATTAGAGCTGGGTGGGCGAAGTAGAGATGTGCATCTGGAGTTTTATGTGATCGTTGCATACCATTGAGACTGAAGGGGAAGTTCTATAGGATGGCTGTAATACAAGCTATGCTTTATAGGACAAAATATTGGGCGGTCAAGAAACAACATATCCATAGGATGAGCGTAGCTAAGATAAGGATGAGATGGATGAGTGGCAAGAATGAACATCATTTGGAATAAATATATACGAGGGAACTTAGGTGTGACTTCAATAAACAATAAGATGAGGGAAAGTAGACAATTAGACATAGGTGGGCTGACCATATGCAATGTAGACCTAATACACTCTGGTTAGGAAGTGCGATTTGATTCAAGTGGAAGGCTCTAAAAGGGCAAGTGGAAGGCCCAAAGGGACATGGATAGAAGTAGTGATAGAAGATATGGTGACTTTTAGTCTTATTGAGGGTATGGCCCTTGATAGAGAAAAATGGAGGAACAAGATTCGTGTAGCCCACCTCAAATCCTTAAGATAGGGCTTGGATGATGAGGATGATGAAAATGAAAATTTCATGGTGCTGGCCCCATTTTTGTGGCCTATTTTATCACCAATTCACAAGATTGGAGAGAATTTTCAGATGAACTAGATTAATGTCACTATTAGGAAGTTCAATTTGTTTGAGAACACTTTGCTTTATAGAAAATGGCCACTTGTAGTGGTTTACAAGCAAATCTTGATTTCTATTCTTTGCATCAGCTGCATTCTTTGGATCATCATCTGACCTTGTTTTTAATCTTTAGAGGACCTTTAAACCTTGTAATTAGTACTTGTGGTTGGTTTATTTCATCCTTTTGTGCTAGTATTCTTGTGACTGTTAACATGTCTCAGACATCTTCTTGCTCGAACTTTCAATCATTCAAATCCATCTTATAAATGTCATAAGGGATTTTCTTGACATCCCGTTAAATGGATTTTTAGCATCAAGCAAATACAAATAAAATCAATCAAAACTACTCAGGATACAATGCCTGCCTATTGGTACTCTATGTTACATTTCAATTTTCACATTCCTGTCTTTATTTATTGTTCTCATTGCTTTGAGCTGTATCTCTGCATTCTTATTTTGAAAAATCTTGAGGAGACGTGGGGTGTTCTGGTCTTGTTTAATGGTGTGGTAACTTGTGCAGATATCCGTGTTTTAAATGAGTACCAGCAAATCCAGTCATTCTCTGCTTTTAGCACTGTGTATAATGACACTGGTTTGTTTGGTATCCGTGCTTCTACGGTGAGTTTTCTAGACCACCTATTTCTCTGAAACTAACGCTTCACTTTTTTGACCTAAAAGTCGGTGAGGAAACTTTAAAGACCCTTTTGTTAATCTGCATTGTTCGTTCTTCAAGATGATAAGTTTAAGACTTGTTCCTGACTCTTCAGCCATTACAGGGATCAGATTTTGTAGCCGAGGCTGTTGATATAGCAGCGGAAGAATTAATAGCTATTGCCACCCCAGGAAAAGGTTTGTTTCTCATTTGAACTTGTTTCACAATGAAAAATTATAGGTCTCCCATCATTGCCTGATTCTTGATTTTAAGTTTTCCTATTCTTATTACAGTCAAAGAAGTCGAACTCATTCGAGCGAAAAATTCTACTAAATCAGCTGTATTGATGAATCTAGAGTCCAGAGTAAGATAATTGATGATTTTGCGTGACGCCGCGTTCTGTTTTGTGATTCTCTTGTATGATAGTCTCTTCTCCTGTAGATGGTTGTGACTGAAGATATTGGGAGGCAGATATTAACCTATGGGTGTAGGTAAGTTCTTTCTCCAGGGTGGTACAACTAAATTTCTAGACTTAATTTCAATCTTCTTTGTAATTCTGAATCTAATGATGTGCCTGTGGACTTGCTGAAAGTTAATCTTGCTGTATGGCCTATGGATTGCCCTAAGGTATTTTTAGTCAAAATTTGAGAGTGACATTTATATAGTGCTTCAGATAACTAGATGCAAATGCTTCTCAAACTCGTCATGAAAGTTCAGTCATCTATACTATCTGATCAAGTGCTTGTGCCAGATGCCAAATATTAACCTTTGGTGAAGTTCTTTTTCTAGCTAGATTTTATGGGAAATCTGAAGTCTTTTTTTATTCTCTCATTAGTTGTATGCCTATCACCAGAAGCTTACGAAACGATTTATCCTGAAATAAGTACTAGGGCTAAAAGGTCAAGGGTGGATACGTCTCCTAGATAATCTTTTTCTCCTGTCATGTATTACGATAGAGGTTGTCACACGTTTACCTTTGAAACTGCAGCTCACTATTCAGCTATCTTGACTACCATGATTGCAAGTGTTTTAATTTTCTCGATCTCTCTCTCCATATGCTNATCTCTATCTCTCTCTCTCTATCTCTTCTC